AATAAAATTAACATATCTATTTTTAAACTCAATAATTCTACCTACCTGCTATTTACCATTCTTTCTAGGCACATTTCATTTGACTTTTAAGCTTTTATGCAATAATTAAATATTTAAGGAATAACATTGATTCTGAAATAATTTAAATATAATATATGTTCTATAACTTATTAAATAAACTATATATTATTTAATAAGTTGTTAATAATAAAATAATATATTTAAATGAAATATAGACATTTAATACTAAAATAATTATAAACTTTTGCATAATTTTGCAAATAAAATTGTTAATAACCCTCTTTAATGTATTTACCTTTTTATGTGATTTTTTGTTATCTGGGCAATATAAATTAAAATATTTATTCTTACTATGTAAATTAAACCCATTAAAATTTTAAACTAAAATGCATTTTGTGCACTATTAATACGTTTTTCTACTTCTATTGCATATTATTGATATTTTTTGTTTTTTTTTTGCGTAAATAATGGTAACCAATATAACCGCCCGGTCTATCAAAGTGAATTATATTATATTATTATTATATTTACGTTGTTAGGTATCAGTGATTGGCTTATTTTAATATTCACTGATATTTGAAACAATCTGGTTTTAAATTAGAAAAAAGTAAGGTTGACAGATGTCAGATTTATTTATATATACGAGGGGCGACTTTAATGATCTTTAAAATAGGAGAAAAGTGAGGTTATAATAAATAAATTTTGTTATCAATGAAAATTTCTTAATTGGAGTAGAACAAACATAGTATTACACTCGAAATAATGCGCATTATTTACTCGGATGAATTACGTCTCTCGCCTGACGGCTCGACATGCAAACCTTATCCTTTTGAATAATAGCCTGCATTATCTCTCGTATAATAATATACTATTATCAACATTTTAGTTTTCATTACTTGTTTTATGAAATATCTGCCCAATACCAACTTATTTCAATGTATAAAAATCCAATAAAATATGGAAACGGCAAAAATTTATAATTATTATAATAATTGAACTTGGTATTCCCAAAGGGTCTAAGTGTCAAAAATAAAATTGTGTGAAATCAATGAAAATCCATACATCTTTAAAATACAAAAATAATATGGAAAATATTTGTTTAGTCGTTTTGCATGGCACATAGACTATTTTTAAATGATAATATAATATTTGACCAAATTGGGTCCAAACCCTTTGGGAATGCCATGCTTCAATTATAATTATTAATGTAATTATTTACCATTTCTTTTTATATAAAAAGGCAGCTTTCTTTGCTTATGGTTTTAGATAATATTTTCCTAAAAAAGGGTCCTACTAAATTTTGTTTTGCTGAAAAAGTTTAAAAATCTTGAATACCTTTTAAAAGAGCCCTACCAAAATTTGTTTTAGTTTTACTAATCCGTTTACGAGTTATACAATTTTAAAGTATTTTAAAAAATCTCATATTATTTTAATGGGAAATAAAAATTCCCGATAAGGGACCTGTAAATGTAATATTAAGAGCTTACATTTTAACAGGACCATTTTTTGGTATTTATACTTATAAGTCTAATAATTATATAATATTTTTTATCAAATATTTAATAATTTGTCCTACGTTTAAAATATTAATATGAAATTAAATTAAAATACTTTTTAACATTTTAGTCCGGAAGAACTTCGGTCTGTAAAATTTATTACCTACTTTTATGATATAATTTAAGTTTTTTGTATTTAAGTTATTTTCTTATACATTTATAGGTATTGTAATCTTTTTTTATTAAGCCGGATGAGGATTAGCCCTTTCGGCAAGTATTAACTTATACCTTATGCCTAAATACGCGACGTGTGCGCCGATGATAATTTTAACGGCGCCGGCGTATATTATTATAACTTTAAAGAATAAATATTTTATAATTTTTCACACATTAACCTACATATAATAAAAGAGCAATAAATAAATATGAAGAAATATATAATATATATTTTATAGTTTTATAATATTTATATATTTATATAATATATATTTTATAATTTTATAGCTATTTATGTTTATAAACATAAATATAAAAATATAAATATGTTTTATAGTTTTTATATGTAAGTTATAGTTTTATAGGTATGTAAGTTATAGTTTTATAGGTATGTTAATTTTTATATTATAATTATATTAAACATTTTTTGATAAATCCTAGTATATTTAATTTAAAAATATCCCAAATATAAAAATTTTAATTATTAACTGCTTTTTCACTTGTACCGTGGTTAACTATGGAATACCATGGTATCCCAAAATTTAACAGCCAATTCTTATGTAAAATTGTCCCCTGAATCCGAAAATACCGTCAATAATTATGAAAGTGAAGCAGTTTATGAGATATAGTCAATTCCATATTAAATAGAAAATTGACTATATCTCAAAAACTGTTCTAATTTTTTAACTTTTGGCGGTATTTTCGGATTCAGGGGATAATTGTACATAAGAATTGGCTATTTAGTTTTGGGATACCATGGTATTCCATGGTTAACCATGGTACAAGTGAAAAAGCAGCCACTATTAACTATTAAATTAGTAATTTTTGACTAATTAATTTTTAGAGAGTATGTTTTTAATTTTAACACATAAAAGTGCAACAAATAATAAAATGTGTTTTTAGTCCTAAAATAGTGTATTGAATCATTGCTAGTTCTGAAAAATGTAAAGTAAGTTTTAAAAAACTACAACTTGATAATATAATTTATAGCCTAAAAAGTTCTTATTAAAAGTTTTTTCATAGAATAAATGTTTATAAAACTATACAAAAATATATCAAAAAATTTACGATTTAATAAAAATACAGTTAAATATGTAACATACCCAAAATAATTAATTCAATACGAGCAGGTAGTAAATTCTAAATATAGACATATTTTTAAATAAATCCCTAAGAGGCAGATGTTGACCATTTCCGAATGCCTCCGAACAATTACAATGGAGCATTCAAATGGACATTACTTCTTTCCGTAACTGTACGTACCGCGGCATATCATCGCTCCATCTTTCAAAAGATACAATTCAAATGTCTGAGATTGAATGATACGTGCAGGCTTCAAGGTAAACAGCTACCCGCACCTACTAAGTGCTATTCATAAAACCCTTAATTTTTAATTTAAGAAATAAGGGAATGGATTTAAAATTAATGTAACTAATTTATTTATAACAAACTAAAATATTTAAGAGATGGAACTAAAAAAATAATCATTAGTATACCTACATAGGTATACGGTATTATTTAATGATTAAATTTTAATCATACCTACCTTAAGTTTTAATTTAACAAATAAGGAAATGAATTTAAAATTAATGTAACTAATGTATTTATGACAAAAAATAAAAAATGTAAGAGATGAAACTAAAAAAAAATAATCAATATTAGTACCCATATGGGATTATTTAATGATTAAATTTTAATCATAATCAAGTCATTAATGTTTTTTATTTGTGCCTATTTATTTCGGTATTAATGAAATAATAATTTTGGTTTTGTAACTTTTGTTAAAATACAGAAATACCTATTTAACTCTACAACCTCCAAGCAACATCTTGGAACATTTCCAGTGAATGTTCTTTTTATTCAAAAAACAATAAATAATTTTCTCTTTCTACAAATTGGTTATAATCCAGGAATATGCGCTATCATCTAGGAATAATCTGCTTCATTCTAGAAATATGCATTGGGAATATTCCATAGAATGATCATCTAAAACTTCCAAACACAATCTATAAGAACATTTCCAGTGAATATTCATTAGTTTAGTTGCAATACGTCTCACCGTTGCTTACGCACGCTTGATACCTATATATACCGATAGGTTAATAATATCAGTTAGAGATGTGCGTCTGTGATGGCACAGCAAAACAATGATTAGAGTGGGACTGATCTACCTACTCAGTAACTAATAATGGCTAGTTCCCAAGCAGCATTTTAAGTTTAAATAACTACAAATTTACTACTAAGTCAACTTTAAAGTATTTTTTACGGTTAACCAAAACGGTTTTATAACGGTATAGATACGAAAAATTACCAAATTTGGGGAATGGTTTATTTCGTTATTTTACCCACATAATAACCTTTTTGATCTACTAAGAGAATTACGTAATAAAAACAATATAAATACCACAAATTTACGTAAAAATAACGCTATAATTACTAACTGTTTGCTCTCTCTTTCTTAAACATTGATATTCGTAATTTCTTTGTTCTTTTAATTTATATTTTACAAAATGGTAGGAACTTAAGTAATTACAAAGTAATAAAGGCCACCCTAGAGTAAAATTAAAAAATATAACTTAAATTGTCAAAACCATTGATATTTTGCATTAAAACTCAAACGCACAATATTTTTTTGATAAAAATAGGTACGATACGTCTTAAAAATTATATGCCCTCTAAATATTTTACGGTTTTAAGAAAAATTATTGCTTGGGTAAAAATTCAACAAAACTTAAAACCTACAAAATTCTGACGTTAAAATTACCGTTAAATTTTCCTTTAGGTGAAATACACTAATAAGTAATTTTCTTTCGTAAAAATTACGTCCCTCATAATACTTTAAAGTGTTGAAACTTAAGGGTTATTAAAATAGGTAAAAATAACATAAATAAAACTTATATTATAACTTTAAAAAAAGTTTTACTTCAAAGTAAATTTTTAAGGTAAATTTAACAAAATATTTACTTAAATTAAGTAATATTGCCTCAAAGCTCTACGCTTTTACTTAAAATGCTGCTTGGGTTAAGTTGAGTTCCTGGGTTTAAGTGGCCATAAGGGCTGACATTTTGCTGGGTAGGTGAAAGAATCTTCTTGGGCAATAAATATATTTTTTGCCCAACAAGATTAATAATAATATTTTTACTATTATTATATTACCAGAGAAATGTGAATCTAGACAAAATCGACGAGAACTTATATTTAACTTTTTTTTATTTATTGAAATATCTTGTTTTAAGATTTTTACACAAGTTTTAATATCTGCTTTAGGTAGAGTACTGGTGTTTTCTTACTTTACTGGTGTAAGCTTAGATGGTCATATTATGCTCTTTAGTGGAGAAGTTAGAAATAACTGGTTAGACGTACGTATTTATTCATTTTTATTGGGCATTGTTTAGAAAGAATATTAAGTCTCAATATTTAAATAATTTGATATTTTATTGATTTTATAATTTAAATGATCTGGCGTTTCTCAAACTTTTATTATAAGTTATTTTTTCTTCACCATTTTGACCTAAGGATTTCTTTTAATTAATTGTGACCGGTTTGAGCTTTATACAGTGTGTCCCACTTAAGACCTACCACCGTTGTGAAATTTTTATTATTTGATTATTTTAAACTTTTTTTTGTTGGGTGGATTTCTAAAAAGGCCTTAAAACGCATCTTTTAACGATTAAACTGCAGTTTGATGTGATATCTTTTTGGGGTCGAAATTGCGAAAAATACTATTACGAAGTTTTTCAGAGCAAAAGTAACCACGGATTATTACTCGGAACCAATTAAAACCCAAATTTACCAATTTTTATTGCTCTTCCATCTGGCAAATGTTTTATTGTTTTGTAAAGAATAAACCATCTTATTTTCGATAAGCCCTGCAAATCAAGTAAATCAGAGACAATGACAATGACAATAACAAAATTTAATAGTGGGGTTTAAAGTGGTCACAAACAAGAATCCGTAGTTGCTTTTGGTCTAAAAAAATCCCTTATAGTAATTTTCTAATTTTTTTTATCAAAAACTTAAAATGCCTAGCTGGGACAGGGTGTATTTAAGACCGATAACAACTTTTTGAAATTTTAACCCCAAAATATATTAGTTTAATCGCCAAAACAAGTAACAAATGTGTTTAAAGCCTTTTTTAGAGATCTTTTCAACAAGGTAAGGGAAGGTTTAAAGTGGAACACACTGTATATTAAATTGGGTCGAATATCAGCTTTTTGTAAATTAGTTTTGTAATAGCAAAAATAATAATCTTTAAAATAAAAAATTATATACAAAAGAAAAAAAATCGGTCAACAGTAAGGTGGGCAGATTTTATATTTAACTTCTAAAATTTAAAAATATTAAATTCTGCATTTAAGAAAAAGTTGTGAAATAGGAAAGTAAACATTTTTTGCAAAATATTTTTTTTCATATCTATATGTTTTGAACTGCCGCAACGCCTCTAAAAATTTAAAAGTAATTTTTAAAAATTTAAAATTATTCATAAGCGGGAAAGTTGTGAAATAGAAAAGTAAACTATTTTCCTTTAATATTTTTTTTCTTTTTTAATGTTTTGAACTGTATGAAGTCAAACTGTAAATTTTGCAATAATTGCAATTATTGGAGAGACGGCGTAAAATGGAGAATAAATATTTTTTAAGATTTTCGTGTTTGACGTAGGACAGTTGACAGTTGGCTTCATTCATAGAAATAACACTGTGTTATTTCTATGGCTTCATTGTTTATATAAATTATAATATTTTGACATCGTCAATTAATTGAATAATAGAAATTTTTACAAGTAGTATCTGTTTGTGGTTTTTGGGTGTTTGTGAAAAATGGCAGGTAAAACAGGATTATAAATTGAATTAAATTTGTGTTGATGATAAATTCATTTTTATTTTTGTTTTTTTTAATAAATATTTATCATTCAAACCTTTTTTTAACCCTATTTTCTCTCAGATAATTTTTTTCGTATTTATAACGATACTAAATTACATTAAGATCTTTCAAGGCCTTGCGGCAGTTTAAAAAATTAAAATTAAAAAAAAAACTCTTATAATATTTTTCTGGCCTTATAAATGCACAACTTTTCCACCATTGCACAATTTGATATTTGAAAAATATTAAAATCGGCCCACCCTAGTCAACAGGCTCGCCAAAAAGTAAAGTAAAAAAATATTTTTTTAGGAATAATAGTTATTTATGTCATTAGGTTAAGAAGTAAGGCTTTTTGTGCTAAGCTCAAAGTTTGAAGGCCGACGCGTAGCGGAGGCATACAATTGAGCGAAGCACAAAAAGACACTTCTTGGCCGAATGGCATACAACATTTTATCTTCAAAGCACTTTATATAGGTCAATTTAATTCAACATGAAAGCGCCCTAACCTCACTTTTTTTAATCTCATTTATTTATTAGCTAAAGATTACATTAAATGTACAATAATTATTATTCCTTTTAGAAGCAGTAATACTTTGGCAATACCTAACTACATGATTTAAGTAGAAATGGATTTTTGTAAGAAAATGGTTTACTTAAGCTGGGTTCTAACAGAGAAATAACGTAATATAATTTAATTTAACTTTAAAAGTAATTTAATTTAATTTACTTGCGTTCATACAAAAAGTAACGTAATTTAATAGTGTTTGAAATTAAAAACAATATTTTAAAGGGAGTGCTTACTTAATGTATCTAAAACTTAAAGTTACATATGGCTTACTTTGGTAATTACAATCGAAATATTTGTCTTATTATTAAAACCGTTTACAAAAAATATGTTAGATTCTCCCAAAATAGGTTAGATAATACGAAATAACCTTGAAATAACGTAATTTAATTTAAAAGATAAAAGTTGGCCAACTATTAAATTAAGTTTTAAATTACATCACTGTATGAACGTTACAAAGGATTGTTGGCATAGATAACAAAGCCTTTGATTGTTTGATTGTTGGGTTTTTAACTTTTAAGTTAAATTAAATTACATCTTAAATTAAATTACTTTTCTGTTAGAACCAGGCTTTACCCTCTTGCTATTACATTGAATTCAATTAATTGTTTAATAAATAGGTATCTAATTTCAATTTGTTTGCATTTTTATTAAAAAAATAGGTAGTTTGAAATGTTTACGCTGTGTTTAACATTTAATTTTACTGAAAACTTAAAGCAAATTAAAATTTAAAGATATTTAAATCGTAGAAAAAGAAAACACAACTGTGAAACGTCAAATTGCAATGTCCTAACCTCTCTTTTTGTTTTATTATTCATATTTAATTTTACAATAATTTAATGAAAAATATTAAACATTAAAATGTTATAACAGTAAAACAAACAAATTAGTGCTTATTATAAATAAATTAAACCAGTTTAGTACGTTAATTTCTTAGAAAAGTATTAATTTGTCAAAACAATACCCCTAGCGAGAAAAAATCGAACTAATTACTTGCCTCATAAAAATTTTTATCGGCCTAGGCCATAACAAGGTATTTCTTTATCGAATGTTGACAACAATAAAGTTTAAATTATAGACCGCGTGGAGATAAACAATTTTTTTAATAAATTTTGTCACTAAATTTTATTCTCTACAATAATGGTCCTTATTAATTATCGCATAAATATTATTGTTTAAATTTTTTTTTAGATAATTGCGATTTTATATTAAAATTTCCATTTTATAACTGAAACTATCATGTTTATATTGTATTGTATTATATAATACAATTTGTATATGTAAAATTTACACACGTAGACAAGCACATGTATACAAATTTTCTTGATAGCAGCATTGTATTATATAATACAATGCAATTTTGTAAATCTAAAAAAGCGCCACCTTGCGCCAAATTCCAATGCTTTTTTTGCTATTTTTTATGAATTTTATTGTTATTAAATCGCATACCGCATAAACATGATAGTTTCAGTTATAAAATGGAAATTTTAATATAAAATCGCAATTATCTAAAAAAAAATTTAAACAATAATATTTATGCGATAATTAATAAGGACCATTATTGTATATACAATATTAGATAAGCACATGCAAAATTTTTTCTACTTCTATTAAGGAATCTAAGCGACATTATTAGTATTAGTATATTATTAGTATTAACACAATTACTAAAAATTGCTAAGAATAATTTTTGGCAAATATTGATTTATCCCTGGTCCCTCAAAACCTATGAACAAAATGCTTATAAACGCTGCAGGATTTAACAATATTACAATTTACATGATATTTTATTGCAAAATTATGAGATTTTCCTTGTTTTTTTACTCTTACTGGGTTTTTAACATTCACAAAGTCTGGGAGAGTCCGTACGATTATTTTAACGCTATATATTTTTTTTTATTTTAACGCTATTTTACTGCAGTCTAAATGTTATTAAGAGAGCATTGTAAATATCACATACTGCTTATTCGCTGTATTTTGTATATATGACCTTGTTTCCTTTTTTAAGGGGAAATTTGTTGATTTGCCTATTATTTTACCTTATGCGCATAGTCAGTTCATAAGTGGGGGATTTAAAATATATGATACCATAGACATATTAATACGTCCACGTATGATACGAATTGTCAACTAAATAAAATTTAGGTTACCTATATCAATTTTTTCTAATCCTTTACTTACATCGTCTACGTTAAGCTTACCTACATTTCTGTGGATTGGCTTTATAAAAAAAGTGGCATATTATGTAAAAGACACTAAAAATCTCGTAAACACAATTCGTATACAACAGAAAACAAACAAAATGATTAATTATAAAAACCATCTGCCTATTTCTACCACGATAGCCAAAAGGTTTTTATCTTAGGCATTATAATGTCTAAGATAAAAACCTTTTGGCTATCGTGGTAGAAATACGACGTTGCCAAATTCTTGCTGTTATAAACATGCCATTAAAAAATGTAAAATATCATTTTGTGTGCATAAAAAAATCATTTTACAATAATATATAAATGCTTTTCTTCATACAATTTATTAAAAAGTATTTATTATACTTCCCAAATAGGGACAAAAATATGGTATTTTTTTAATGCAATCACCCGTGTGATTCTCACATTTTTAAAAAAAAAAAATTTAATTTATTTCCTAGGATTAGAAATTAATATTTGTTTGGGCAATTTTATAAGAACATTGACCCCTAAAAAGTAAATTTAATTGCATTAAATATTCATAAATTTAAATTATTTTCAGATAAAAAACCTTTTCACAAAGAGTCGGAACGAAAAACATCTAAAAACTACTTTGCCAAAAGGAACAATTTGTAAACGAAATTAAGTATATGAATTTATATTAAATTACCCAAAACTCAAAATCAAAATCAAGGCCATACAAAAAAATTAGAGCTAACTTTAATAAATTTGTTAACCCAGTGAGTGTTTTATTATTATAATTATAATTTATAAATAGGTATAGTTTAAGGGAAAATCAGTGAAATCCCCAAATTTGTCGCACAGGGCTACTGATACAACAACTTTGTAAAACATTAAATAATCTATCATCAATAGTTTAAATTAAAAATCTAAAAAAGCGTAATTTTTATAAATTTGTAAGTAAAATATGAACGATAGAAACTTGACTTCATAAAATTTTTTGTAGAAAATGTAATGTTTTCATTTTTCTGTGTTATTCCTATGGGAAATTTTAAAACTTAATGATTCACGTATGCTATGGTATTTTTATGTAAGAGCGAAAAAAAACGATATCGCTAATTGTTGGCATACCCTAATTTATATATTATATACAGGGTGAGCCAACGGAAAGTTTTTACCCCAATTTTCTCAGTTACGTAAAAAAACAAAAAACACTACGGCCATTTCAAGCGGACGGACGGGAAAATCACAAACCTTGTTTTATAAAAAAAATTGTAGGGAGTTTATTATACAGTGTGATCCATTTGTTTGCGACTCACCCCTGTAAAATCTTTATTTATTGTGCGATTTTAACCGGATTTGTTAAAATCTTGATAAACTGTATTTTTGAAGCAAAAAACGCCATAATTTTACAAAATACAAGGCCTACTACGTCAGTTTTTAAAAGTAAATTTTTAAGAATTCATATTAGCGATTTTTTTAAACAAAATCTAAGCACGGCACTGGATTCACCATCCCTCAAAACGACCCTATACTAAATTTTATTAAAAAAATTTAAGAAAAAAAATGCACAATAATATTATTTATTATATTATTATATAATTTATTTTGTCAAGTTATCCATGAAAAAACATTGAAATAAAATTAAACTTATAGTAATAGTACCATGCTTAGATTTTGTTTTAAAAAATCGCCAATATCAATTCTTAAAAATTTACTCTTAGAAACTGACATAGTAGGCCTTGTATTTTGTACTAATATAGCGTCTTTTGTTCAAAAAATACAGTTTATCAGATATACACAAATCCGGTTAAAATTGCACAATAAATAAAGATTTTATCACACTGTATATTATTTTTGCATTAAAATTGTCAAATATATTAAACTTTTATTAGGCTATACATTAAATAAAAAAAATCGCAAAAAATATTTTATAAAAGTAAATATATTTGACAGGTGTGGACGGGACAAGATAAATCTTTTTTTGTCCCGTCCACACCTTTCAATTATTAAAATTATCTCTACTCTTATAAAATATTTCTTTGCGTTTTTTTATGAATTATTAATTTGTAAGAAGTTTAAAACAAAAACTTGGGTTGCATCTCAACATTTGAGAAACGCTAGTACCTGGTAGCTTGTGTAATGAATTTTATAAAAAAACAAAATATATTTAAAAAAAAATTAAGTAAAGTATTGGAGAAACTCCTTTTTAACAATGTCCCAAGTCATAAATAAAATTATTCTAAAAATTTAATTTTTTATTTTAGTTAATACAAAACATTAGAAAGTATGATCAACATTTGCTAAGAATACCTGCCTTTGAAAAATCTTTATCTCATGTTTTAAGAGACATAAAAGTGGGGAGAAGGTACACAATTCTTAAGCCCGCTGCACAATAGCCCGGTAACGGAAATATGACCAGTAAAGGTGGGAAACAACTGTTGGTCGGTATTTTTTACCCATTAGGTTCCCGTTCTCGTTACCGGGCTGTTGTGCAGCGGGCTTATACGAGCTATTGTAACTCTATTATATGATATTTCAGAAAATTTATGCCCAAAATCGTAGCTGAAAATTATGAAAAACATTTATCCACTTTGACTACATCCCTAAGCGATTACCGAGGATTAAGATCTTTTCCAAAGTCTTGGCCTGCTGTGCTAGCCGACTATGAAATTGTCGTTGAAACGTAATAAAAAGATATAATTTAAGACAAATTTACTTATACGGAATTTTAGTGAAGCTGGACCATTGATGTTATCTCCTACAGGCCAATTTATTGTACCTTGTACCTTACCAGGCAGTTTATTGGTTGGTTTCATTACTTCAAATTTAGAAGAAGCCAAAAAACGAATGGAAAACTATAATAAGTAAGAGTAGTTTCCTTAAAAACTAAATAAAATGTTTGTTTATTGTATCACTGAAATGTGACAAACTCTAGTTTAAAACACAAAATAATTTTCAGAAAATATCATGTTTAATTAATCCATATATTTCCTGAAGTTATAAATTTCGATTTATATTTTTTAGGGACAAACATTTGGAAAAAAAGTTAGTCAATAGGTGTGTTATGGAATTAAATTTAGCAGCTTTACTCAAAGATGACAATATAACCCCTGACTTGATGATAAAGTGCTGTGAAAAATTATTAAACAACAAATATGAATTGGAGACGGTCATGAAAAATCTTCATCTCAATATCGCGTCGTACTATTCAGTTTTGTCAGATGGTGTAGTATGTATACCATGGAATTTTGATTTATAGTTTTGTAAATAACCTAGTCATCATATTTTGCCTCAAAATAAAAAATATCAAAGTGTGTTTATTTCCTAATTAGAATTAAAAAAAAAATAAAACACTGGGTTAAAAAACAAGTAAAATATATTTATGATATAGACAGACATAAACTTTTTTACAATAAACATAAAATTTATATAACAAAATCTTAAAACTGTATAAGTACCTTTTGAAAAACTTAAATTTTACGCTTTTTTTTAAACTATCGCGCAATTTTTAAGGCACTACCAAAATAATAAAGAATTTTTATATAAACTGATCGAAAAAAGTTAAGGATATTGTGAATTTTCTGAGAAAAAAATAGTTTTCAAAAAAATTTGTATTACGTACATTTACTCTCATCTCTTTTAGAAATAAAACACATTTGTTTAACTGAAAAAATATTTTAATTAGAATTTACAGGCAACTATTCTCTTACAATGTAACAAAACCGATAATTATCAAAAAGAAAAAAATGATTAATAGCGTGTAATTCCACCTCTGTTGGCTATTACTGCTTTAACTTGGCGAGGCATGCATAAAATTAAACTATCCAAGTCATTTTGATCCAAGGTATCCCATAAATATGGAAGAATTTACCTCAGTGAACTTACGTCCTGAACAGGAGGTTGATGGGCAATTAGTGCCCTTCCGAGCATGTCCCAACCATGCTCGATGCAGTTTAAATCTGGAGAGAGCGTTGGTAATGGCAAATGATTAATTTCATGGAATGCTAGCCGTTTTTGTACTACCCTGGCTCTGTGCGGGCGAGAGTTATTATCCAGAAATCTGAAATTGGGCTCCAAATTCCAACGATAATCGCTGCAAATAGAGTTCGTATTACCCCTAGGGCGGTTTTAAATCGATTAAATGAAGCAGGTTTACATTGCTATAGGCCTATAAGACGCCCTCCATTGATCGCAGTTCATAGAGCTCAACGTTTGCTTTGGTGTAATGAAAGAGCCAACTGGAATGATGAGTGGCGTACTACGATGTTCAGCGATGAAAGCCGCTTTGGTCTTCGTGCTGACAGAATTACAGTTTGTGTCTGGGGACCAAGAAATTCAAGAGTTAATGACCGGTATGTTCAAGAAGTGCATCCATTTGGAGGTGGAGGTGTAATAGTCTGGGGTGGAATTTTCTACGGAGGTCGAACAGAGTTGTTTTTGTGAAGGTACCATGACAGGTAAAATTTATGCTCACGACATGATTGATAACATTGTGGATGATTATCGATGGAATTTGGAGCCCAATTTCAGATTTCTGAATGATAACGCTATCCCGCACAGAGCCAGGGTAGTACAAGAATGGCCAGCATTCCATGAAATTAATCATTTGCCATTATCCCCGCTCTCTCCAGATTTAAACTGCATCGAGCATGGTTGGGACATGCTCGGAAGGGCACCAATTGCCCATCAACCTCCTGTTCAGGACGTGAGGCAAGTTCTTCCATATTATGGGATACCTTGGATCAAAATGACTTGGATCGTTTAATTTTAAGCATGCCTCGCCGAGTTGAAGCAGTAATAGCCAGCAGAGGTGGAATTACACGCTATTAATAATTTATTTCTTTTTGATAATTATCTGTTTTGTTACATTGTAAGAGAAAAGTTGCCTGTAAATTTTAATTAAAATATTTTTTCAGTTAAACAAATGTGTTTTATTTCTAAAAGACACGACAGTAAATGTACGTTATACAAATTTTTTTGAAAACAATTTTTTTCTCAGAGAATTCACAATATCCTTAACTTTTTTCGATCAGTTTAATTGTACTATACATCCATTTTTATTAATAATTGTAATTAAAATGCAAGTGTTAATAATTATTTTATTGTATTGTGCTTGCTACAACAAAATAATCTTTTTTAACAAGTGGTTAACAATTTGCCGATTGTATTCAAATTTTGATACATAATGGGCTTGGGACATGATGTCGAAAATTAGTAAAAAACACTTCTATTATATATATTATTCACTAAGAATACCGTTAAAAAAAAGACAATTTTTTCCCCTTAAAAATGACAAAAAATCAATACATCATAAATGGTAGGTAATATATATAATATAAGATTTACGAATGCAAAAATAAAAACTTCGAACGTAACCAAATTCAGTTATAATCTTTTTAATTGTTATAAAATCATATTTTGAAATAAAGTTCATAAAATTATTTAAAATAATTAAATTTCGCACTTTTGTTTGTACTATGCTCCACACCTCAAAGTCCCACCACGTGACCACGTACGGAACGCAGTCTTTTGAAAATTTGGCATTTAAGGCTTTTCAGGTTATGTATCTGTCAAAGTATAGTCAATGAAAGAAATAATATTTATAGTGTTACCGCTTATGTTTAAGCGTTAAAAGTTAATAAATCTTTATAGTATCACAATAATAATGGTTGGTTTAAGAATTTAGGAACATAAATACTGCATTTAATGGAATTCCAAAGTGTAAGGTGCAATATAAGTGATATTTTTGTGTATTGGGTCTACATTTCTCCATAAAATACTTTTAACTAAACAGCATTTATTAAAAAAAATCTAACTTCCCTATTATGAAATAAGAATATCTGTATCAAAGGTAGGTTAATGTATTAGAACAAAAAATATCATCTAATTTTGTATTTTAAGGTTATAAAAATCTATTTTGACCAAAATAAATAAGTGGATTATTTGAAAGAGTGTGTTAATATGGTCATAAATAAATATAGGTATACTAAAAAATTGTTGAATATAGTTCAAATTAAATTGAAGCTTTTATACTTCTAACGACAAAACTTGTGCATACCTCTTGGCATACTTACTTTAAGTTAGATTATATGAAAACAAACAATTTTTAGAGAAACTTGTAATGTGAAAATATTTAATACTCCCATGACATGTGATTTATTAAAAATTTTAAAGTTATAATGATTTTTTGATGTAGATCAAATTTAGTTGAAGCTTTTTAACTATTTGTATTGACAAAACTTTATGTAGGTACACTTTAAGCTGGATAAGAAAAACTACCACATTTTTTAAATACCATATTATACAGTCTTTAAAATAATCCAAAATACTTATTTATTTTGGTCAAAATAAATTTTTCTAACCTTAAAATTACAAAATTAGATGATATTTTTGTTATAATATATAAACCTACCTTTAATACAGATATTCTTATTCCATAATAGAGAAGCTGGATTTTTTTTAAATAAGTGCTGTTTAGTTAAAATTATTTTATGGAGAAAACCAGATATTTGGACCAAATGCACAAAAATATTAATTATTTGGCACCATACACTTTAGAATTTCATTAAATGCAGTATTTATCTTCTTAAATTCTTAAACCATCCATTGTTATTGTAATGTTATAAAGATTTATACATTTTTAACGCCTAAACATAATATTAAATTTTTTCGTTGACTATACTTTGACAGATACATAACCTGAAAAGCCTTAAATGCCAAATTTTCAAAAGACTGCGTTCCGTACGTGGTCACGTGGTGGGACTTTGAGTGTGGAGCATAGTACTTTACAAACTATTTAAATACTTTGAAGAATTTTGAATATAATCTAGAATCAGATGTTGGATTTATTCGTAATTTTTCACATAATATTATGTGCTATAGCTTTTTTATTAAGAAACGTAGGAAAATTTTTTTATAAACTCAAAAGCGTAGATTCCAAATAAAAATAAAAAACTTGCATGTCCCAACCCCATTCCTCCAATGGTGATAGAAAAAAATTCGCCATTAGGCCAATGAGAAAACTCAATTTTTATTATTACCAGAGCTGCTTGAAAAATAAGATACTTGAAAGTAACTTAGATACTTTATCTTAGATACTTTTTATAGTGGACAGAAAGTATCTTTAACTAAGTTACTTTGGAAAGGTATCTTGTAACTTGTATCTAAAAGTAACTAAGATACATTTAAGTAACTTTGTTATTTTAAAGTAACTTAGAAACTTTTTAAAGTAACTTAGATACTTTTCAGTGTATTAGAGAAAATTGGGGGAATTCTAAAATGATTCAAAGTAATTAGTAATTACTAATTACCTAACCTAGAACTTGTTGAATTTTTATAATTTTATGGTTTTTATTCATACTTAAAATTAACTTAGTTACTCAAAAGTATTTTATTTACTTAAAAGTATCTTAGATACTTTCATATAGTATCTTAGATACTTTCGGATAGTATCTTAGATACTTTTTAAAGTATCTTGTAACTAAGATACTTTTAACTCAAAGTTATTTTGTTTAAAGTATCTTAGAAAAGTAACTAGATATTTTCAGAAGTAACTTTCCCAGCTCTGATTATTACTAACGCTACTATGACGACTTTTGTTTGTAATTACTGTGAGCGCATCTAAATGACTTTGAATGTAAACTTTAAGTTAAATAAATATGGCAAAAGTTTATCAATTTTGTAAAAATAAATCACTCAACAAAAGTGTTTTCCTCACGTGTAATCGCAATTACTCCCTCGATGAATTCCTTCACTCGCCTCGAAAACTTATCTATCGAGAGTAGTTGCTAATTTCACGCTCAGTAAACAATATACTATAAACAAGCTCTAGAAGTAATTTTATAAATGTTTTAAAAATACTACATTCTTTAAAATTCATCATTTTTGTTTTTTATAATTAAATTAATATAAGTTAAGTTTAAACTTAAAATTACTTTAAAATTTATAGTTCTAAAGCGCATTTTGTAAAAACATAAAATACAATTCAACAAAAATTGTAAAGTAATAATTTGGCAAGAAACATTCTATAATTATTTCTATGTACAATGTTTAGTAAAAATGTTTTTTTACAAAAATAGATTTGCACTTGGTATCACTTTTTATCCTTAATATTATAAAAATGGTTACTGAGCAATTAATATTCTACTTCTACTGATTGTTTTGTTTGCTTTTCTGTGACATTTGTCTAGCTTCTTCAGGTAACTTTTCTGGGTCTGATAAAACTTCCGTTATTGTGCAAAGATTTGTTAAGGAGTTTAAGACAACTACAAATATATGTTTGATATTTTAAATTAGCAAACTCATTAATATTATTACCTGGTCTGAGATCCACTAGGGTACAATGTTGTTCAACCCATATCATTGTTGATCTATATAAATCATCTAGACTGGATGTCGTCACAATATTGTTAAAAGAATTTAGCAATGGTCTAAAAATTAAATTAAACTGTTAAATTATTAAGGAAATTAATTAACATTTTCTTTATGGTTCATAAAAATTACAAAATAAGCATAAACTATAAAAAGGATACAATCCAATACTTCCAATTTTCCATTGTTCTTGTTCTAACATGTTCATCAAACATTTCTTGCATTTTACTGTCCCTCCTTCTCGACACAGGTGCTCCAGTTGCAGGTAACATTGACTGACAATTACTATAACAATATTATATTTAATTTTAGCATAAATAGTTTTATTTTAAATGCTTATGTACCTTATGGACGAATTTAATGATTCAATCTGCTGCCTTAGCATGTCCATTTCTTCCTTCAATTGATTTCTTTCAGATCTTAGTAGCCTTAAATATTCTGCACCCTTTTGTAGCATGGCAGCTTTGCTTAACTATAAAATAGTGTGCTTAAGAGTTCCATCGCTAATTTAAAAGGAGGCAAATGCTCAAACGGAGAATATTTAATGCAAAATATTCAAAGAAAATAATTGCTGACCTCAGATAACACTAAGTTCGAATTACTAACATTGAGTACGCTCACCTATATTACCTAATTTTGGGCTGCTGATTTCAAAAGTGCCACTCGTTTTGCTCCAGGACGTCTAGGATTCGAAATAATTGCGTAATAAAATGCTCTGCCCAATTATCTCAAAATATAAGTTTTTCGTTAATATTTTGATTATTTATTAAATTATTTTGCCTTAAATCTATTTTGGATGTTTAGTAAATTTTTAACGTTTTTTGTCAAAAATATACAGGGACTCCATACAAAGTCATCAGTAGATAAATGTCAAATAGAAATTTTGTTTGTTCCATTGTAGCCGTATACTATAGTAGTATTATATAAGGGATATTTATTAAAGCACTTTTCTGCAAAGAAGTGCTTTATTAAATACCAAAACTAAATTTATAATGTTTTTCTGGTAAAAAGTATAATTTTTTGAAATTTAAATTGAAAAGGCAACAAAGTAAATGGGTTTCGGTATAAACATTACTATTTGACTATTATTTTATACTTTTTATTCACATCATGCCTAAAGTACCCAAATCTCCAATCTTATTTATTAAGTCTTATTAAAATTTAATACCGAATTAAATTATAAAGGCGCCTTTATCTACTTTATCGTTCAAGCACATTAAAGTGCATTTAATAATTTTTGACATTTAAAATTTAAACTTTATATTGTATTTTTACTTGAAAGTGATTTTAAAAACCAAAAATGAAAAAAGAGCAGGAAATGGAAGTGGTAATGGAAGTGGCAGAAAAAGAGAAAGGGGACGTCGTTGTAAATTTGTTTTGTTTTTTTTGCGGTACCTTTACGCCCAAGAAAAACCAACGCAATACTTTATTTAAAAATTTTATGAGATATACCTACTACTTTAATTTTGCAGGAATATTAAATGGACCTGATATACGACGTATAATGAAAGATCAAGCATTCAAAAATGCTCTCAGTTGACGAGCTTGTCGCATATGCCAGTGTTAAAGCTGTCATTGAAAATGTTCTTGATTCATATCGGGCCTAAAATTGGCGCCAATTCATTGAAAAAATGCTTTTCGTTTTGCAAAGAATTAGCCTTAGTATTTCATTTAAAATATATTTTCTTTTTTTCATCCTGATAAATGTTCCACACTAATGAACATGGAGAACGATTTCACCAAGTAACTGCAAATCTAGAGCATTGGTTGGATTCATTGCTAGGAGACATTTGATGGAATTTGCAGCAAAAGATGTACGAAGATGATGAGGATTAAGCACAATAATACTATAATCCAATTTGATATTTAATACAATTTAATAAATTTAAGGTAGAAAAAGCAAAATTATGCAATGCATTAACTTTTAAGGGCTTAATTTGGATACAAAATACTGAAACTTGTTTACTTTGTTGCCCTTTCAATTTAATAGTTACAATAAACGACAAAAAATGTCAAATAATGGTTGTTTTTATACATAAAATACATTAAAATTTTAGTTTTAGTATTTAAAATGTCATATTGTTAAGATAAATATGATCTATTTGCCGTATACCAATTACTTCAGTACATTCAAGATAAATTTAAGCCAAAATAATTTAATAAATAATTAAAATACTAACAAAAAACTTACATTTTGAGGTGATTGAGCAGAGCATTTTATTACGAAATTATTTTAAATCCTAGACGCCCCACGTAAGGCAAAATGATGTATTTACGGCGTCAAAAATATTTATGATAGGCAAATGTCCAAACAGTGTTTTCCTTAGCTACTTTTATTGCTCTTATATAAAAACAATAAAAGTAGCAAAGGAAAACCCTGGAAAACCCCAAACCAACTTATATACAGTGCTTGCAAATCCAAGTCCGACCGCGTTGGAAAGGATGGTTGTTCAATACCCGCGTGAAAAGAATAAGGATAGAATGCCAAACAGAATTTGATTGGTAAGAGCGTCAGACGTGCGTATTGTAAGCGCCTTCTGTTTGGCGTTCTATCCTTGTTATTTTCACGCGTCCTTTCCAAACCGGTCGGACTTGGATTTGCAAGCACTGTATAGATATATCTATTTAAGTCGGTGCTTAGATTTTGTTTAAAAAAATCGCTAATATATGAATTCTTAAAAATAGAAACTTTGGTGAAGAACGCACCTCCGAAATAGGAGCCGCATTCGAAAAATCGGAGGCCAATTGGAAAGCAGCTAGGAGGTAAATTCGACTTGGATACACACACAGATACACAATCCGATTCACCGTTCTTACGATGAGGGCGCTACTGTTTTATACAGATGTTTACCAAATTAAGTATATCAGTTGATATCCGAACATTTTCTATTTAACCGAAATTTGGCAACAGGGTACGGAGGCCATTTAATGCCACGAGTATGAATTTCTGTAAATGTATCTTATTTAAAAAAAATTATATTTTTAATGTTAATGAAATAATGATATACATGTTATGATTGGACTCCTGAAAAAATACAGGTATTATTATTACGAATTATTTATGGGTTTAAACATTAAATACAAAGTGTAAGTCTGTAAACTGCTCAAAATGTATTCATATAATCGTTTATAACACTTTATTAGCAAATACTTTAGCGTTCTTTTTTTAGGACTAATAATTATTATAGTCCCATACTGGGACTGGCGCCTCTACAACTCTTTGTGGAGGCACGGGCTCGGGAGGCCTCGGTCAGACTCAATGATTGGGGACAGTGGACTCACGGGGGGGGGAAACTCAGGGCATGCAAGGGCCTGGACTGAGACTATCAACCGGGACCCCCTTCTCACAAGAAGGGATGCAATGCCAAAGACGTCTACCCCCCTCAGGAGATATAAAGTGGTTTTCCCCTCCACGACTGGAGCGAGCCTGACCCAGGCTTTCTCAAACCGGAAGGGCTCATCTGGTACACAGACGGGTCTTTAATGAAGGAAGGTGCAGGAGCTGGTGTATATGGAGAGCGACCTGGGGCGAGAATAAGCCTTGCACTAGGTCGATACCCAACAGCACTTCGGGCTCTTCACTCGGAAAAGGTCAACTCGAGACTTACACTGGACTGCATAAAAACCCTCGAACTACTCAGTGTGCTCAACAAGGTTAACCTTATCTGGGTACCGGGTCATCGAAGCATCAGAGGCAACGAGGAAGCAGACCAGCTGGCTCGTGAGGGCAGCAACACGGCCTTCATAGGGGTCGCCTCCTGTCTGGTAAAAACCAAAACTGGACTAACGACCAGTTCCAGAACAAATGGCGTGAACAACAAGGCCTCAGGCAGTCAAGGGTCTTTATGAAGAGTCCTACTACCTGCAAAGAGGCAAAAAGATTCCTGAAACTTAACAGGAACCAGTTAAGAACCATCACAGGAGTCCTAACAGGACACTGGGTAGTCAAATATCACCTACACAAAACCGGACTCAGCAACGAGACGGACTGTAGGTACTGCAGCGAAGTAGACGAAACTACCGAGCATATAGTCTGCGAATGCGACGCTCTAGTCAATAGTAGACTAAGACACCTAGGGGACAGATACTTGAAACCAGAGGAAATAATGCATGCCCGACCAGAGCGGGTCTGCGCTTTTCTTAAAAGCTGCGGGCTCGTAAGGTGAGGCAGAGCTTCACCAAAAGGGGGTTTGCACAATGGGCCGTATGTGTGCCTAAGTGCTGCCTGCAAAGGCTCCCCTTCAAATCAATCAATTAATAGTCCTTCTCTTGTGGTAAACTTTTTAGCTCCATACCTTGAAAATAAAGACGAAAACACTTAAATGTGGAAATATGTGGAAAAAAAAATAATGTCCTTGTAAAACCAATATTCAATGCCATTGATTAAGCTGGCGCTCAAAGCGAAACTTTTTTTATAACCTTTTATCAAGTTTAATAATAAACTAAACAATGCAAATTTTACTCTGTTTAGATAATTGGATAATTCACATAGAGAAATTAGATTTACATCGTTAATATATACGTTGATTTAAAGTACTTACAACATGGTAACACCTCCATTTTAAAAGTTTTAGATTTACTTCGCGGTGACTGCAAATTTACACAATGTATTAGCACTAAATTTGGCAAAATACAGGTTACGCGCACGACTTCCTGACAACACGCGAACAATATGACATTTTTTCAATCCTGTCTTTATCCTTTTTACAATTTTTTTGTTGTTTTTAAGGTTTTAAATATTTGGGAACATTTTGCTATGTAAAGAAACGAATATTATTGTATTCTGGTTTTTTTTACTTCTGTCGCCGTAAATACCTCATTTTGCCTTACGTGCGCCCTAGAGAAAAACTAATGACATTTTTGAAATCAGCGGCCCAAAATTGGTTAAATTAAGCTGGAGTACTCAATGTTAGGAAAAAAAAGTTTCTAAAACTATCATAGTGTAATTAAAGACAACAAAGAAATCTATTTTTTGGACGCTTAGGTCCCATATATTGATAAATTTTATTGGTTCGTTAAAAAATATATGCTGCTTAATAAAATAAATTCAAATTACCTTAGGATTAGGGTTTTGGTTAAGATGTGGTATAAGGGAGTGTATCATGTCAAAGCCGTTCTTTATGTTGTACCGTCGTTTTTGTTCGGCGTGTATGTGCCCTGCCCTTCTGTCTCGATGCGAATCCCTGTTCGGAGAACCGATTGAGCCCTGTGATGAGGTCGGCGAATTTAGAGGTTGAGACGACACATCCATTATTGGACTGTTTGAGTTGCTAAACGTATTTAAGCTAAGCTGAAAGTTAATATATATATTTAGCTAGTTATATGGGATATTTTTTTGGGATTTTGATAATTTCTTAATACATTGCATCTAAGGTTGGAGGTGGAGGACAAACCGGGATATCACCCTAGGTGACATTTTTAGACAATATACGCTAAAGAAGTATCGCTAGTAGGCTACTAGTAGTAGCGCCACCACTCGGCTGTTATCATCGTAACAAAAGTAAACCTTTTAATAATCCGCTGTCAGACGCTTATGTTACAAACAAGTGTTTTTGAGAATAAAAATCGTAGCTCGATTTGTTGTGTTGTTGGGTGTATTTCGAGAGGAAATCCTGGGTGGATTTTTTACCGGTTTTCCAAGAAACAGTGTTAATCTGAATGAAGAAATAAATTCCATACAGTCTCTGTAAATATAAATTGTACTTATTAGATACAATAAATACACATTTTAGTAGTGATTAACGTGAAAAGTGTAAACATTTCAATTCAGTAAAATTCGTCAAACAAATAAGTCGTCTAAATTTAAACAGCATTAAGCATTATTAAAAGCGTTGATTAAGAAAGTATCCACTCAACGGTAAAATACCATTATATTATGTCTTATATATAATATTATGTTGCCATGAATTCGTAGGTATATTTTGTTGTTTAAAATGCAGTTGTCGGCATTTTTTAGAGAACTCAAATATAAAAATGGTTGATTTTAAGGTTATGTTTGTGCAAAAATTATTATTTACTAATTTCTAAAAAATGTCCCTTAGTGTGTGTATTTTAATACACACACTAACGTTACTATATAAGCATTTAAGCGTTGAGTTTCTTAATCAATGATATAAGGAATAATCAATCGAAATCGAGTACTAAAAAAGTTTTTTAATTTTTTTCTGCACGTTATTTGTGTTTTACGTTGCAAGGAAAAAATTAAAAAACATTTTTAGTACTCGATTTCGATTGATTATTCCGTATATCATTGATTAAGAAACTCAACGCTTAAATGCTTATATAGTTACGTTAGTGTGTGTATTTTATCTAAGGGTGATCATGGTGAATTATTATGTTTTTAATTGTAAATAAAATTCAAGAACTAAATCGTTGCATTTTCATGTTTTGCCAAAATATCCAATTCGGTAAGTACATTTGTTGCACCAACTAACTAACTAACTAACTAATGATAAATTTACCCAATAAAATTTTGGAAATTTTTAAGAAATTGGTAAAAAATAATTTTTATGTTTGAGTTCTCTAAAAAAACGCCAACAACTGCATTTTAAACAACAAAATAGGTATACCTACGAATTCATGGCAACATAATATTATATATAATACATAATATAATGGTATTTTACCGTTGAGTGGAGATTATAAAGAATTCTTAATCAACGATTTTAATAATGCTAAATGCTGATTAAATTTAGACGACTTATTTGCTTTTACTGAATTGAAATGTTTACACTTTTCACGTTAATCACTACTAAAATGTGTATTTATTGTATCTAATAGGTAGGTACAATTTATATTTAGAGAGACTGTATGCAATTTATTTCTTCATTCAGATTAACACTGTTTATTGGAAAACCGGTAAAAACTGAACCCAGGATTTCCTCTCGAAATACACCCAACAACACAACAAATCGAGCCACGGTTTTTTCAAGAATATTTTTTAACATTTTCTGGCTTTATTCTCAAAAACACTCGTTTGTAACATAAGCGTTTAACAGCTAATTATTAAAAGTTATACTTTTGTTACGATGATAACAACCGAATGGTGGCGCTACTAGCGATACTTCTTTAGCGTATAGGATGATTCTAAAATTTTAATTGTATTTGAGGATCTCTTTAGTTTGTTACCATAACAACCACCATTAGATGTACATGGTCCGGTTGAGAGGTATGGTGTTTAAGAAAAAAATTTCATAATTATTTCCAAACAAATTTTAAAATTTATTATTTTGAAACATTAATAGGTAATTATAACTATAGTTATATTATTTTATATTATGATTTAAAGTGTTAACGTGTTTTGATTTTTAAATTTTCGCGACGTTGAGTAGAGTAACAAGCAGGGATATATTTAGGCTTAGGCCAACTCCAATTATTATAATTGCGCATTCCATTCAGTGAAATAACGTAAGTGAATTATATTGATTGAAATTGACGCTGTACATTTCAAACATTAAAATTAGTGGATAATTTTCTTTACCAATCAGTTTAATTCCAACATTGAAATACAGCGAATTTCAGACACTGAAATTACTTTTGCATCTAGCTTGAATTTCATTCAATGATATAACTAAACTATATTTCCAACTTGGAAATTCCAAGTTTGTTGAATTTTTTGGTTACTTTAAATTTGTTCGATTAAATGATAAAACGGAAGCTATGAGCATTAAAATTAAATTTCTTGAAATTAAAAAATATAATAATAATATTATTAAACATTTTGGTAGTAGTTTACCAAATCGCAATTTATAAAAAGTATCAAGCCCAACAAAATGTTTTATGTAATATTTGTTATATATGACTGATTGCTTACTGGATCCACTAATGATGGAGGCACTTGACCCATGCTCACAGTGCCAATGATGAGTGTGTTTGATGGTGGCGAGGGAAGAATTGGTGTCGGTCCTGATTTTTCTTCTTTTATTCTTACCTGTGTTGAAACTTCCAACACTGTGCTTTGACTTCTGTTGTACACTTGGGTTGGAGAATCTCGACCTGGTAAGAAAATGTATTCAAAATAAATTTTATAAATTTTTTTAAAGATTTTTTACCTACAGGAAAATTATTAACGTACTTACTTGCAAGTAACTGTGTTAGAAGTAAACTATTGGTTGGGTTTAGTAATTGAGGATCACTAACAGCTGATATGAGTGGTGGTCTTTTATTTGGTTCCCTTGTGTTGGATCTGGATCTCTGGCGGCCTCTAGGGGCACCACGACGCCTAGGTTCTGGCTTTTCTTGTTTTGGCTATAATATTTAAAATGGCATTTATTTCAAATAAAATTTTAATATTTTAAATTATACTACAATAAATTTACCGTTTAATAATTTTTTTTTTAATTTGTTAACTATTTTACTATACATACAAAATATTCAGTAATTAAAAATGGTGGTTAGCTATCCAAATGGCTTATTAATTAATTAAATAAAAATTTAACATTTTTAATAAACGTTTGTATAAAAAGGAATTTTTGTTATACACTCACGTGCAAAATAATCGATCCACACAAATTTTCGATGAATTTCAATCGCAAATAACTTTTTTATTTGATGTCGGATTTAAACGAATGTTAATAATAATAATAATAATAATAATAAATACTTTATTGATCCCAAGAAACATAGATTGTTTATAGAGGGACAAACTCTAAACATATAATAATTACAGTAAGTATATCTATCACAGTGATAAAACATTATCTTATAAGATAATTATAGTCTTACAAATATACAATATACAAACATACTTTATACATTAATTTACATATTTACTGAACTTTTTTTTTTCAAATTCAATACTCAAGAAGAAGACACGCAGGTTAGCCTCTTATCAAGGATTGAAATACTCTTTTATATGTCTTGTCGATTTTGTTTTTATATCTGGTAAGCTGTTATATATATTAACACCTCTATATAATAAACATGCTTTACCATACTTTGAAAAGACGTGTGGAACTGCTAAATTATTATTATTTTTTGTGTTGTGTAGATGTATTTCATTTCTGGCTTTAAAATTAATATTCGTGTGTTTCTTCTCAAGTATAGAACCATGAACAAAGCTACACACCTGATATTTATAAATATTATCAATGGACATTATTCTAAAGTTGGTATAAAGATCTTCTGAATGATATCTTGAGGGTAAACAATACAGGTTCTTTATTGACTTGTTTTGAAGAGTTTTTAGGGGCCTTATGGTGACAGCACTAGCCGTATACCATACCATCGTTAGATATTGCAGGTGAGAGTGTATTAATGAATAATATATTGATCTTAGATATTGTTTTGGGACATTATTATTTAATTTATATAGAATACCTATGGGTCCGGCAATTTTGCTTCTTAATTTATTAATATGGTCTCGCCATGACAGTAATTCGTCAATTATTAGCCCAAGGAATTTAATATTTCTAGAATATTTTAGACTCTCACCTGCCACATCCAATGGTTGCCTATCAAATAAGTTACGCCTATAGATATACATATACGAGGACTTGTCAATATTCAAAGTTAGCTTATGAGATTTAAGCCAACTCAAAATCATCTTCAAGTCACAAACAATATTTCTCCTAATTGAGTCATAAGTGTCTGAGAAGTATACTAAGGTTGTGTCGTCGGCATATAATCTAATGTTTCCCTTAAGCTTTAAATTTGTTATTGAATTTATAAATACTATAAAAAGTGTGGGTCCTAATATAGACCCTTGCGGTACTCCAAATTTTATTTCAATTTTGTCACTGCTTATTTTGTTTATTACAACTGCCTGAGTTCTATTCCTTAAATATTCCTCAAACCATTTCACTCTTATACCTAACAGTTTTAATTTTTTTAAGAGTATAGAATGACTCACTGTATCAAAGGCTTTACAAAGATCCAGCGACACCAGTGCGCATTTATATGATTTGTCTATGTTCATTTGAATATCTGTTACTAAGTCCACTGCAGCAGAGCTGGTATCGCTGCATCTTCGAAAACCATATTGAAGCTTTGAAAGGAAGTTTATGGAGTTTAAATAGCTTATAAGTTGTCTGTTTACTATACTTTCTATGATTTTGGAGAATAGAGGCAAAACAGATATTGGTCTATAATTGTTCACATTTGATTTCTCACCACTTTTATAAACTGGTATCACCTTAGCAATTTTCATAGCACTTGGCACAGATCCACTTTTTAATGACTGGTTTATAATTCTAGTTAACACTGGTAAGATCTCGTTTTTGCACTGTTTAATCGAATTTACGTCTATATTATCGTATCCTGGAGATTTCGCCGAGTCTAGTCCCTCAACCAATTTCAAGACTTCTTCCTCAGTTACTGGTACAAAACTGAACAGCTCATCACATCCGGTTTCTATTTCCATGTCCAAGAGCATATCTGGAATTTTGTCTGCTAGTTTTCTAGCAATGCTAGTGAAATGATTGTTCATTGTGTCACAGACACTTCTCTCATCATTAACAATGTTGTTACCATCCTTTATTGAATATATATCTGTATTGTTTTTTTGTTTGTTGTTGATTAACGAATTTATAACCTTCCAGCATTTTTTTTGGTTGCCTCCTATATTTGCGAATTTATTTTTATAAAATCTAAACTTCGCTTGTCGAATTTCTTTTTTGGTGGTTTTATTTATTTCAGCATATTTAGTAGTGATGCAACGGTTTCGGGTTTTACGGTTACGGTTACGGTTAGCTATACGGTTACGAATAAATTCACGGTTATTCAAAAAAAAATTACAGAATTACGAAAAATAAAGTTTTGAAATTAATACACACGTTCAGTAAAGGTTAAATAATAATTTATGTAAAACAAAAACAGAATTTCTAATAAAACTGTAAAACAATAGGAAATGAGTTACATTTTAAACCTAAAAACAGTAAAGTAAAACCTAAGTAGGTACCTGAATAATATATTTAAAAATATAAAAAAATTAAATGTTAATATTCAAAATTTACGAGTCAAATTTTTATTTAAAAAAACATAACATCTGCAAATTCTGCGGAATCAGCCTATTCCTATTTGGTGTTTGCACAAGACCTGCAGTCGAAAACAACCTCTCCGAATTCACTGACAATGGTTTATATAATACCTTAGTGCCAACACTCTTAAACGCCGAAACGTGTAACACGTTTTCCAGAATGTAAACGGATTTGACTTAGGTGGTATATTTGGTAACGTTAATTACTCTTCAATCTTCTTTTTACATGCATTCACAAAGTAGCATAAAAAACCGTAAATACGGTTACGGTTAATGACATACGGTTACGGTTAACCGTATAATAACGAAAACCGTGAATTAACCGTAACCGTAACCGTAACCGTTGCAACACTAATATTTAGTTTTTATAAACTCATTTCCAGGGTCATTTTTTATTTTATGAAAATAGTAATCTCTGCTCTTTATTAATTTAAATATTGTGTTATTAAACCATGGCTTGCTGTCTCCCTTAAACTTATTTTTTAAGGTAACACTAGTTGTGTTTTTTGTAAAACACAATATGAGTTTTTCATAGTTGTCATCCACACTATTGTCCTCAGTATAATGGTAATTTAAGTTTGTTAGATCAGCCTTAATTTTTTTTAAGTCTGTTATTTTTTTTGTAAAACTGCGTATTGTGTTACCCTTAATTCTTGTATTAATTGTTACTATCTGAAGTTCGTGATCACTTATTGAGCTTCCTATCACCGATGCTTTGCAAGTTTGTAAATTGGAGTTGGTGAGAATGTGGTCTATAAGTGTGGAGCTGTCTTTAGTTATTCTTGTGGGCAGTAGTTTATTTACAAACTCAAATCCATTACTTATACATAGCTGTTTGTATTCTAAGCTGGCATCTCCTAGAATGTCCATATTAAAGTCACCTATAACATAGGTCTTTAGCCTTTGTGAGCTGCTCAGTTTCTCCTCAATAAAGTGCATGGTCGAGTCCAAACTCTTGAAATCCGGAGGTACATAGATGGCCCCAATATTTATTCCAATATCTGTTATGTTTACAGAGACATAGGATATATTTCCATGGTTAACTTCATTTATTTTGTACTTAATGTGGTCTTTTATGAAAATCGCTGCTCCTCCTCCTTTTCTTTTTCTGGTAGCATATTCTGCATTATACCCTGGTATGTTATAGTAAGGAATATCTTCAGATTTAACCCAAGTTTCGGAAACCACAATGATATCTATATTATCCTTGATTGTGTATAACATTATTTCTATTAAGTCAATTTTGTTTTTTATAGATCGACTATTAAAATACAATACATTTACTAAACCAGCATTATGCATAGCCTTGTCATTATAATCTATCAAGTCTATATATTTTTGCACATCACCCATAAAGAAAACAAATACAAAAACATTATATCACATACTAAGTATCTATTTATCACATGTTTAGACTGCTACTGCAGTGAGACTCTCTATTTGTTTTATGCTTTTTAATTTTATGATTGGAGAATCATCAATTTTTCTGCAAAAAACATTTCCGTCCTTTTGCCAGACATATTTGTAGTCGTGTTGTCTTAGTGATCTAGCCTTATTAAATAAAACTCTGGATTCATATGGTATGTCCTCATTTATGTAAATTTTAGTGTTTTCTCCTTCAATATTGCACTTTAATGAATCCATTTTACCTTCTTTTTTCCTATTTTCTAGTATTTTGTTCCTATCTTCAGTATTTTGAAGCATTACCAGAACAGGCTTGGATGGGTTCTTACTTGACAGTAGTTTTATTGTAAAACTACACTCCACGTTTAAGGTATTAAATATTTTTTTTACATCTTGCTTAAGTTCATTGTCTACAGTATTTTTAAGCCCAACTATAACCAAGTTTTTGTCATTGTTTTGATTTTCATCTTTTGATATTTTTGTTTTTAGTATAGTTACTTCCTTGCCAAGTTCAGCAATCTTTTGTTTTAATTGCTCGTTGTCTTTACTGTTCTTTTTTGATTCCTTAGCAGCCTTTTCAACTTTTTCTTTCATGGCTTCTATTAAAGAATATTGTAGATAAATTAATGGACAATCGCTCACATTTTAAAAAAATACTAAAAAATAGACGCACGTTTATAATATACAGGTTTAAACAAAAAGATGTTTTTTACCATAAGTTTAAGTAGAGTGGCAAAGAGTATATTGTTCTAAATTAAGTTTTATTTATCAAGTCACATCTTTTCTTAAAAGTTTTGTTTTTGGTTCACCTCGATATATTTATTTTTGTGGAAAATATGGATTTTTTTAAAAAACATTGCAATTTCCA